CTGCCAGATCATTCTACGGGCAGCACACGGCCCATAGCACTGTCGTGTTAGCGCCAAAGGGCAGGGACACCAGCCACTGGCAAAATGGGTCCCCAAGGAAGGTCCTCGGTGGGCCTTTGTGGTTTCTACAGAATTGAGCACAATGAACTCTCCTTTGCAAAAACATTTCACTTGTCAGAAGTGGTTATAAAAAACAACAACAACCCTCCTTACTCACTGAGCAAGAATCTTAGAATAATAATGTGAACTTTTCCCACATCCTTCTTCAGCCCCAACTTCTGTTATAAGATTCATCACCTCAGTCTGAAAAGCCCATGGGTTTTGTGGCATTCGATCTGATTTAAAAGATGTGAAAGGCCAAGAAAATCATTCCAATCTATTATCAAAATCCCAAATCTCAGGGGGAAAAGTTGCAGCTGTGGAAAAGTTCAGATTTAATTCTATTTTTGCAGGGAAAAAATGCTGTGAAGGAAATTACAGATGGCAAGGTCAGGGCGGGGAGCATCTAGGTCCACTCTTGCCTCAGGATATACTTTTAGCAACAACCCCCCCTTTCCATGAAAACATATTTTTAAAGAGGAAAAGATCTAATTTCTTAAAGAGCCCTTCCACGTTAACAATAACGCAGCTCTGTGCTCATGGGGAGCACAAACTAGAAAGAAACGTTTGGGCCTACAAACCACATTTGTAGGAGGCTATGGGAGCACGGAGACCCAGTGGTGTGGCCGGCATCCCGACCATGATAAACCACTGCCTGCGCCAAGGGGATGGGAGAGGGGGAGGGGAGGTGTCCACACACACCCTGTAAGTAGTTAAGAGCCTTGGTACTTGAACCTTGGAGATGCAAGGACCCTCAGGAGTCGGCAAACTCCTTCTTCACACATGGGGGAGACCCCAGCCCCAAGCTTCACAGGCAGGGCTAGAATCTCCCAGCCCAGGCAAACACATTTTCCACGGGAGGGTGCCTCTCCTGCTGCTCTGCTCTGAGGGGTGAAAAGACAGGCAACTCTATCACAGACTTGAGGAGCTGGTTTATTTCATCTCGGCATATGCGGACACATACAAGGTTTTACAGCATTTGTGGCGAGGTGGTGAATACCAAAGCGTTAATAAATACATTAACCGCACGCAAATATCAGCTGGCCTGAACCGGGCCACGAGCAGGGACGGTGGGTCTTTAATGAACGCCACACTGCAGTCGTTGGAAAAGCTTTGGAGAAGCCTCAGTATCACGTGAGAACACATCCAGCCTGCATTTAAACTCACTGTACACGATGCACTGCGCGCACGGAGAGCAGCTGCGCCCGCAGGTGGGGCGTGAAGGCCGGGCGGCTGCCGGCATGCGGGTCAAGTGCAGAGCGCCAGCTGACGGGGAGGCGGGCGCCCCTCTACCGGGTGCACAGTTCCCTTCTGAGTGCCATCATCATCTTCGCATGGGCGCCGTTGCAGAGAAGAGGGGGAAATAGAAACAGTGAAGGCTTATAATGCCCAGAGAAAACATCCTCCGAGCGAGTCAAGCGTCCAAAATGAGACAACACAACACTTCACCCCCAGCAGGCGTCACAGCCGGCTGTGTCCAGAAATTACCATGACTTTAGGAAAAACGGCAAAGGGCCTCCAACGCTTCCTGTTTCAGAATCTTGCACAGGAAGTTACCCAAGGGACCCACGAAGGAAGCGGCTGCTACCAGCATCACCAAGGCAACAGCAGCAAGTGACAGCAGCGCAGCACAGGACTCCGCTTCTCATGCGTCCACAGCAAAACCCACCCGGGGAGCGCGTTCACTGGACCCAAAGCACGTCCACGGCTCCGGTTAGTTCTCTTCGAGGAAAAGGAAGCGGAGCCACGGGAGATGCAGGACTCCAACCAGCAAGTCCCGAGGGCAGCTCCGGAAAGCTGCCGAGAGTGGGCGCTGGCGCTGAGGGTGTTCCCAAGACCAAGAGTAAACACAGGAAATGAAGCCCCGTTTTTTGGGTTTCAAATGAACCTCGATGGCCACATGCACTACTGTTAACCATCCAGAGCATCAAGCTTTCAGGCTCACTCACCGCGGTTTCCCCCCAGGGCACCACTGCTCTTTCAGATACGGGAAAATGTCAGCGTGCGGGGGTGATTCTATGAGCATGTGACGGCTGTCCTCTGGCTTCAGGTGCCTCTGACAGCTCGGTCACCAGGAGTATGTCTGCAAGCAAACACGTAACGAGAAGGGACCAGCACGGCGCTCGGGCACAGCGCCAGGGGCAGGCTTAGAACATCACGTTGTGCGCGAAACGACTCCTTCTTGCAACCTCAGTCCTCGGGCTGCCTGCCGCCCCCTCCCCAAGCAACCCTCTACATCGGCGACCCCAGGGGGGTGGCTTTTCAGCTTATGTCACTCGTACAAACCCGTGCAGCTACAACTGCAAAGACTGGCCCCCAAAAGCAAAGTCAGCTGGTCCTCCTGGCACGCCAGGTCCTGCAGTAATTTTTATGAGGTATTCCTATTTAGAAATAAGACACGTAAGATTCTGCGGCCCTCGCTCACCCTTAGCCCTGCCCCCCAGATGTCCTCGGGTTTCCACTGGGACGAGCCCCCAGGGCTCCAAGGCAGCTCCCCCAGGGAGCGAGGAGGTCTAGGACCAGCATTTCTTCATTAAATCAAGTCATAAAACAAAATACAGAGCTGCAGGTGGGCGTGTGACTGCGAGGCTGTCGGCACCGGACGCCCGACACTCCGCAAGTCCCCATGAGGCCCCTGTGCGGAGGATCCTAGTTCAAAGATCCCCTTCTGTGGCATTTTGTCTTTGAACGGTAAGCGTTACAGGAATGATTTCTCAAGCAAGATCACAGTGATAAGATTTCATGAATTCTATATTTAGGGAAAGAAAATATTAGCCTGGTTCCATTCCATATAAAAGCTTTAGCAGAAGTATAAGAACATTCTAGAGGAAAATGTGCTACAATACATTTCTTTCAAAGAACCTTGTGTCCTTTGCTCTAAACTCTCTACTACCATTTCCGCATTCTACTGCTATAAAAGGCCAATAAAGTCAGGCAATATGACGTCTGTCTTTCCTAAAATGATCAAGCCAGGCTGCCAAGCTATCCACCTGGTTCACAAGCAGCATCAGGAGCAAGCACACAGGTCACCAGAATGAATAAACCATAACTGAAATTGTAAACCCCATTCCTCTGACACCCGCATCAAGATGAAGGCGGTCATTTCTAAACATACTTAACTGGTAACTTTCATACCACAGACTCTTTAACCTGTTTCCCAATTACCCGCTATTGCTACAGAGAGGTCAACCCCCATCACTGGATTAACAAGTAAGTAGTAGTAGTGAGGTGTGTGTGATTCTATCTAATTAAGTGCTGGTGACTTTCAATGTGAACTTTTCCCGTTATAATCAAAGAATGGACTGGGTTCGGGATCCAAATCCCTTTGCTTCCATATATTGTATCCTTGTATCCCTAAATGCTTAGTAAGTAGTAAACTCGCTCTACACCTATCTGGAAAGTAAAATGATATAATGAATGAGGAGCAATCAACTGATTTGTTTTTAAAGCTTGTGAACCCTCAAAGTACTGAGCTCCATGCTCATTCTATTAGGGTATTTTGGAATTGGATTAGAATTGCCGTAATTACTTGCTACTTCCGTTACAAACAGATGTTATTTTCCCTAGGTCAGCGTGCTTCTTGTCATTCTGACGTATTTTCTTAGAGTCATGCTTGAAAAATTAACTTCCCTCGTCAGAACTGCATATCTATTGGGAACACCATAAGTAGTGGGTTCCAATGAGCCTCCATGTTCGTCTTCAGAAGCACAAAAAGAGTGGTCTTAAGCTTCTTTTTCTGGGAGGGAGTGAGAATCGATTCTTTTAGCCCATTGTAAACTATGAAGGTGGCTGAGCACACACAGTGTCTATCGAAGGTTCCTTTTTCAACAGACAAGCACCTTGCTGGTCTACTTTTCTTACTCATGATCTGCTCTCTGGGAAACACTCATTCACCAAAGATCTAAGATTCGAATAAGAGCAAATCACTACTATTTCACTGAATATAATCATTTACATCCTTTAACATAAAAATCCTTAACCATCATGGGGCGCCTGGCTGGCCCAGTTGGTAGGGCGTGTGACTCTGGATGTCTGGGCTGTGAGTCCCGTCCCCACCTTGGGTGTAGAGAGAACTTAAGAGTAAAATCTCAAAAAAAAGTATTTAAGCATCGTGGAACTGCTCGAGAGGGGTGTGGGACCCGGGAATGCCTGTGCGGCAGGACAGGAGACGCGCTGCACCAGACACCCCGCCTTTCCCGCTTGCGAAGCCTGGAACGCACCCCGCCCAAGCTTGCGCTTAGGAACACGAGCTTTTTAAGTAAATTAGAAAGGTTTAAGAGCTCTACTACCAGTTATAAGTTTAAACCTCAAGCCCACGGGAGGGTGGCCCTGTCTCGGTGGCCCACCACAGGGTCCCCGCTGTGGGCGCCGTGGCCCCGGGCTGTGAGCACAAGGCCTTCTCCAGGCACACCCGGCCAGTTACCGCGCAGACGCGCGTCTGGCCCGCTCTCCACTCCGCCCTGGGGCGCACGTGCCCCTGAGCACCCTGGCACCCCCCCCCCCCCCCCCCCCCCCCCCCCCCCCCCCCCCCCCCCCCCCCCCCCCCCCCCCCCCCCCCCCCCCCCCCCCCCCCCCTCTGTGACCCGCCCACCGCGCCCTGAGGCTTGATCTTCCCCTTCCTTTTCCTTGTCCCTCAGGTTGTCCCTCAGGTGTCCAGCGTCATCCCTGTAAGGTTCCCTGTCTGCACACACCTCACACCGTCGACCCCGTTAAGCAAAGCGACGCAGAGAGGAACGCAGAATAACGCGGCGGCCCTTAACACAGCGCGCGACGAGCGTCCGAGTCAAAGCCTTTAAATAGTCCCGAGGGACAGCGCCCCCCCGCCTCTCCCCTTCCTCCCCAGGGACAGCGCCCCCCCCTCCTCCCCAGGGACAGCGCCCCCCCCGCCTCTCTCCTCGCCCCTCCCCCCGTTCCCGCTGGGATCTCAGCCCACGGGGGGCGCCCCTGAGGGAGATGCGGGGGGACTCGCAGCCCGCCCTACGCGGCGCCCTCCTCGCCTCTGTCCGGCTTCTCGGGCAGGTGCAGCACGAACGGGAAGAGCGCGCCTCGCACGTCCACGGGGGCGCCCAGCGGCGCGGGCTCGAAGCTGCCGCCGTCGCCGTCGCCCGCGCCCGGCTCGCGGTCCCGCGGGGGCACGAAGCGCCAGGTGCCCGCGCGGCTCACGCAGTAGATGGCGCCGTCCAGCGCGACGCAGCGGAAGGGCTGCAGGCCGCCGCCCGGGGGCCGCAGGGCGGCGGCGCAGCGGCTCCACCGCCTGGCCAGGCAGTGGTAGCGCAGCACGCTGACCGCCCCCGGCGCGGCCGCCTGCGGGTCGCCGCGGCCGCCGCCCAGGTCGAAGCGGTAGACGAAGCCGTCCAGGGCCACCATGGCGGCGGCGCGCTCCCGGCTGCTGCTGCACGGGCACTCCTGCCACTCGTCGCGCCGCGGGTCGTACTTGAGCAGGCGGTAGAAGAGCGAGCCCCCGGACACGTAGATCTCGCCGTTGCAGGTGGCGGCCTCGTGCGCCACGGCGAAGGCGCCCCGCGGCAGCGGCGCCACGGCGGCCCAGCGGTCGGCGCGCGGGTCGTACCGCTCCACGCTGAGCAGGCACTCGCCGCCAACGGCGTACAGGTGGCCGTCCAGCGCCAGCAGCTGCAGCTGCGAGCGCGCCTGGCGCAGCGGCCGCACGGCGCTCCAGCGCCCGGTGGCCGGGTTGTAGCAGAAGACCCGGTCCGAGGGGCGCGCGCGGCCGTCGGCGCCCGCGGGCCCCACGCCGCCGGCCACGAAGAGGTAGTTGTAGAGCACGCAGAGCCCGCAGCCCCGCGCCGGCGCGCCCTCGGGCAGCCGCGTCAGCTCGCGCCACTCGCCGGCCGCCTCGTGCAGGCAGTAGACGGCGGCGTCGCCGCGCGCGTCCGCGTCCCCCGACGGGCTCTGCGGGCGGCTGCCCGCGCGCTCCCCGGCCGGCCCGAGCGCGGCGGCCAGCAGGCGGGCGCGGCCGGCGCGCAGGCGGCGGCGCAGCAGCAGGTCGCGCTCCGCGCCCGACAGGCGCCCGAACACGGCGGGCTCGCGCAGCACGTCCAGGTAGTGGTCGCTCATGAAGCGGTAGGCCGCGTCGCGGAGCTCCGCCAGCCGCTGCCGCTTGGCCGCGCTCAGCACCTCGTAGCAGTTGGCCAGGCTCAGCTGCGGCGCCACGGCGTCGGTGGCGCGCTGCGCGGCGCACGGCAGCTGCAGGCGGCGCGCGCCGGCCACCACCTCGGCCACGTTGTCGGGCCGCACGCCCGCCATGCGGCCGCTGTAGGCGTAGGCCAGCAGCAGGCGCAGCGCCGCCCAGCCCACGCCCTGCACCCGCAGCACGTCCCGCGACGCGCGCGCGCGGAAGTAGTCGCTGCGCGCCGCCAGCACCGCCTTGTGCGCCCGCAGCCGGCGGCCCGACACCTCGATGACCAGGTCGGGCTCCCCGTGCGCGGGCCCGACGCCGGGGGGCACGGGCGCGGGGTCCCCGGGCTCCTCCGGGGACGCGGGCTCTTCCGGGGTCACGGGTTCCTCCAGGGACGCGGGCTCTTCCGGGGACGCGGGCTCCTCGGCGGACACCGGCTCCTCCAGGGACGCGGGCTCTTCCGGGGACACAGAACCCGCGGGGGACGCGGCGCCCGCGCTGCCGACCTCCCACTGCGTCTCCACCACCCGCTGGCCGCTGCGACGCGAGGGCGGGGGCGACGCTGCGCCCTCCGCTGCGGGGACGCGAGACTGCGGCGGGGAGTCGTCCCCGGAGCTGAAGCACAGCGATGCGCGCAGACCGCAGGGTGCCTGCGCGTCCGGCGGCTGCAGGCTGCCCTCTCCCGGAGCCGCGGCCTGGCTGCACGCTCCCGGCGCAAAGGTGCCCCCGGCCTCGGCCCCGCGGCCCTGGTCCTCCCGGGAGCAGAGCGCGCAGGGGGGCCCCGGGTTCTCCATGGCCCGCTTCCTCTCGCCGCCGTCGCGGCCCGACCCCCGCTCAGCGGGCCACCATGGCCTCGCTCCGGCTCGGGCTGCGCAAGGTCGACAGCTCCTCCGGGGCTCTCGCTGCAGGCTTTTCGCGGCCCGCGATCAAGTGTCACTTCTGCGTCCAGTCCCTCCGGAGCCCGCGGCGGCGCCCTCTCCCGCGGACGGGAGAGCGTCAGCCCCGGACGCGCGCTCGGCTGCGCCTCGGAACCGCCGGCCAGCCGGGCGCCGGGGGTTCCGTGGCCCCGCCCCCAGGCCACCGCACCGATGCTTTAATGAGGGTACGGCGCCGGCACTCGCTTCCCCGCGGCTCCCTCTCCGCAGCACTCAGCTACTGGGGACAGCTGGCACCCCGGGGCAGTGTTCCCCACTTCGGTCTCTTCACCGAGTCCGAGGCCAAACCCGGCCGAGGCAGGCTGTCTCTAAACTTCAGAAGGGGGACACTGCCCCCCGCGGAGCTTTTCTTTCTGCACTCCCTTTTTATATTAGTCTCGGTCCCGCACCAGCAGCTGTCCTGATGCGCCTGCGTCAGCACCGTTCACCCCGGGGGCCGTCCATGATTCACTTGCCCAGGTGTCAGGAAAACACAGTCCGTGCCCCGGGAACTGGCCTTCCTCGCTGATCCATCAGGAGCCTCTTCCTCTGTGGAACATCAGGTGTTTCCATATGGTGTCACCACACTCCTCTTGTTCCTGTTTACGGGGGAGAGAGAGAGAGGGCGTCTGAACATGCACTTTGCAGGGGGTTACTCTGTGTCAGTGGGGTCCCCCGCACCGCCCTTTCAGGTTAGGGGCTCGCAGTAGGAGGGAAAGGGGTTTGGGACTTTGGCTGCTGGAGAATTTGGTGGAGAAGATACACAGAATACTGTAGGGATTTTGGAAGCGCCCTTTTGCCCTGTTCCTGGACTGATCGTGAGGCCCCTGAAGGCCAGTGACACCCAATTCCGGCCGAGGGCTTTAAACACATAGGGTTGATCCAAACAAAACGGCCCGTTTTGTGGATAAAAAGCAGTCAAATAGCGACAACTGCTTATTTTCAAACGAATGAGATGTATCTGTAGAGAACAGTCAGTGAGAAAGCTACTCGACCTTATTAATTGTATTAACATGAGTTTTCCTACAGTCTTTCCCAGTTGACTTCAAATTAAGTTACCCCAGATATTTGGAGGAAGGACTGAGGTCACCTCTCTGGAGCTGGCCTCGGAGGCTCACCTCCGAAACCGGTCTGAAGTGCTCATTCTTGGACTCGCGTCTGCGAAACCTCAGGGAAGCAATTCTCCACACATAGCCCAAGCACAGCAAAAGGAAAGCCAAAGCAAAAAAAAAAAAAAAAAAAGAAGAAAAAAAAAGGAAAAGAAAAGAAAGGAAGTATGTGGAAGGCAGATGTGCACCTGCAGATGGATGATAAAGTCATAAACTATCTTTCCTACGTGGGCAGTGCCTTCTGAGGCCCCCCAGCCTGGAAGGATCTTGGCAGTTTCACCGTGAGCGTAAAGGGAGGGCCCTGCCGTGTCCCGGGTTTCTAGAGACGAGAATCTACAGGCAGGGAAACCACATTATGTAGGATGTGTTAGCCTCTCAAATGAGATTAATGCACTTTATCACCACCTCCCCTCAACCTCTCCTGGTTTCCACCTAGCCTACTTCATACCATTACCCGATCCTTGTAAACGCTCAGGGTTGAGCATATACACCTACTTGCCTTGCCCTTCCGGCTGCTATTACTAAAAAACTTTCCCTGGGGCGCCTAGGGGGCTCAGTCAGCTAAGTGTCTGACTTCGGTTCAGGTCATGATCTCATGTCCGTGGGTTCAAGCCCTGCATCGGGCTCTGTGCTGATGGCTCAGAGCCTGGAGCCTGCTCCAGATTCTGTGTCTCCCTCTCTCTCTGCCCCTCCCCCGCGTGCGCACGCTGTGTCTCTCAAAAATAAGCAAACATTAAAAAAAAAAAAAACACTCTTGGGGCGCCTGGGTGGCTCAGTTGAGCATCGGACTTTGGCTCAGGTCATGATCTCACGGTTTGTGGGTTCGAGCCCCGCGTCCGGCTCTGTGCTGACAGCTAGCTCAGAGTCTGGAGCCTGTTTCGGATTCTGTGTCTCCCTCTCTCTCTGCCCCTCCCGCCTCATGCTCTGTCTCTCTCTCAAAATTAAATTAAAAAAAAAAATTTGTTAGCAGTAAATGCCTTCAAGTTGGAAATTCGAGACATTCAATTCTCTCTCTCTCTCCCTCCCTCCCTGTCTCTCCTTTCCAGAAATCTTCAACAGTAACTTTCGTGGCCAGTCGGCTGTGTGCAAGGCAGTGTCCGGGACGCGGGGAAATGCAGCGTCAGCTAAAACCCCGGCCTGCCGGGGGCGCGGACACGCTCGGTGTTTACTCAGCTGTGGCCCCGGCCCGGCGAGGTGGCCGTGAGGACCTGTCCGCGCTGCGTGAGCGGAGCCCGAGGCGCCTCCGCAGGGGCCGTTGGTGCTCTCGGTCAGCGAGGTCATTCAAGGGAGAGCGTAAGACGTGCTGACAAATCGGACTCAGAAATCCGTAGATGTGAGAACAAACACGGCTCCCAGAGTTAGCGGGGGGGGGGGGCATGGGGGGGAGGTGAGGACAGACACCTGAGAACCCTCACGTGGACAGCAAGTCACAGGACTGGCTGTGTTCTCAGGCTCCTTCTTTCTCTCTTCTGCCCTCCGCCTAAGACCGGAGGCCTCAGGAAACCAACCTAGAGCTTTCTTTCCTTCCGTGGCTGACAAGGGCCCCAGGGCTTCCTGGTTCTTTCTCCGCTGGACTCGGTTCAAAGAAAACCCTGGAAAGCATCACAGGCGGAAAGGAACGGCAGGGAACCGGATACATTCCTAAAGCTCCGGCTGCGCCGGCGTTGGGAGCGCCCTGCGGGGGCAGGGAGACGCCCAGGGCGGTGTCGTGGCTGCGACAGAGCAGGGGCTCTCGCCCCACAGAGGAACCAACACGAGCCGGAGCCCAGCCACGCGGAGAGAGCGCGACAGTCACCCCGAAAACGCTGCCCCTAGAGTTCTAACCGCAGCACCGCTTCTACGCCTCGGCACACGCGGAAGTTGTGAAACTGTGTCCTTTCGAGGGATATTTCCAGCGGAGACGGTTCCACGGTGTTCCAGGGACGCTCGCTCCCGGGCGTCCGGGCACCGGGCTGGGCTTAGAGCGCGGGCAGAGGCTCCCCCGCCTGGTCGTGCCGCCGCCTCGGGAGCCCCCCCCCCCCCCCCCCCCCCCCCCC